TACAAACAAACTTTTCCAACGTATTATACTTCTTTTTTTTTCTGGTGGACAAAAGATAAATCTAATCACACTTGTCAACCAAAACAAATCTTACACAAAACACCGTACGTTCAATGTAACATCTTTATGATTCTTACGTTTCAGTTTGAAGGTTATTAAAGACTGGGATTCATAATGTTAACTTTACGTTTATGTGCCAAAATAGTCCGATAGAATCTTTGCACCAAATCATCCACATATTATTGAAATGTATTACCCACACTCCACTACTACATTTATGTTTTAGTAAATGCAGATCCTTACAAACACTTCGGTCAAACGACGTACAAAGAAGCAATTGTTTATGGTTTCACTGGTTAACACGTTTTTAATACATGAATATTTCTCTGGTGCAAAATTGAAGATTCTCTATTCAAGATTTTTCATTTAACAAGGATTTTACTTCTGTATATTAAGAAATATATATTGTATTTCAGTACTGTTTGTTCGTCGTTATGCGCAAAGCTATAGAATGAGCTATCTGTGCTTTGCCCACTGCCGGTATCGAAACCTGATTTTTAGCGTTATATGCTCTCAGAGTTACTGCTGAGCCAGTTGGGTGGGGCGTATTTCAATAAAGCTGGAGTTTAACAAATAACACCTCAATATACAAACATATGTTGATACCTCTTAAAGCTGGCTTTTACTTTTTGATATAATTTTCTTTTACGGCCACGTCTTTTCCAGCCTGTCATACATTAATGAAGAAATAAACAAAACACGTGTATTTTCTTTTGTGGCAACTATTAAAAGACCTATTACAATTAGCAAAATACGGACTACTAATCTTTCTTAAACAAAATAAAAACTTGTGGATCAAGTTTCTAGGATCCTTAGTTGTTTTTTTATTTAATATCAAGTTACCACAAAAACGTTCGAGCTAAGTCATTTCTCATCCAAATCAGTTTAAGCCCATAGTAAAAACACTGTCCTTCCTTAATCCTCAAGAAAGATTGTATTCTCGAATGGAACGAATTGAAGGAATTTACCTGAAGCAACGCAAAGAGTATCGTGCTACAATAATAATAATAAAAAAAGGTTCTGAATACCATTAAAGCTTGTGATATGATTTTTTTATTTTTACAAATTTCAGAATATTAAAAGTGAAATCCAGTATGTAGAAAAGTTTAAAATATAGATATTCTTATTAGTAACGCCACCTTTCATATAACGGCCATTAGTTTTTACAAATTTCAGAATATTAAAAGTGAAATCCAGTATGTAGAAAAGTTTAAAATATAGATATTCTTCTTAGTAACGCCACCTTTCATATAACGGCCATTAGTTAAGTCGTTTTTATTCACAGTTTATCATAAGTATCAAAAACATAAGCTATTACCTGTCACATTTGGAGAATTATAGTTTGTATGATTTCATACACACATACACAAACAATAACTTACATTTAAGAAATTTTTATGAAATCTCCAGCAAACACTCAATCGTGTCGCCCTCTCTTGACTACCTTGGAGAAACACTCTCCAGGTTGTAAAGAGTCGATTCGCTAATTGGCTGTTAGGCTGTAAGTTGTACTGGCAGGAATGTCGAATCTGAAGGGCTGTCTCAAGCAACTGTCTCCCGTAATCATAGGTACCCTGTAGAACACAGAGAGGCACGAATGTCTATTAAACTTTCATCATGCACCCATGCTGTAACGTGGAACGTAATAGAAGACTTTATTTCTTTATTCACTGATTTTCACATGTTTTAAAGTTGATGCAACATAAATTATGAGGAAAATCCACGATACGATCAATTAAGGACGTAAATATCTCTAACCTGAAATATATAACTAGGCATGTCACTCTCATTCGACCTGAGCTTACCAGAAGGTTTTACACTTATAATTGAACATATTAAATTATATTTGTTTGTGTATGTATTACCTCCTATCACGTTTCTCAGTAATTGTATTTTGTTGGGTACAGCAATTTAGGCAGCCACCCTACGCAAGTTGCAATATGTCGTCTCTTTCCCTCCTCTCCAGTTTTATTTTTGAATATGCAAAAAGAAAAAGAAAAACAAGCACGGAGACTACAAATTAAATCCGATTTGTGTAATATTAAAGCTCGAGGAAATGCTATGGAAACAGTTGATATGTGCAAGTTCAAAAGTTTGCAGTTACGAATATTTAACTAGATACAAATTTGAAACTTAGCATTTTGTCGGCGGTTGATATCTCACGAAACACGACTTCTTTCCATTAGCTTCTGTGAGGGTGTTGTCTTCTGCAGTGGAGCCAAGAGCTTCGTTAACCTCTCCCACCAAGTATCAGAGTGCACGAACAGCATAAGTTCTACGTTCATATCGTATGTCACTCAATGACTCCAATGTTAACTGGGAAACATGTTGTAGCAACACTTCCTAACGATGAGGAAACAAACAAATTGACGTAGATGGCGTGAGTCAAACTGAAGAACGACATTACTTCAGTGAAACATCTGGCATCATCGTTTAGCCCCAAAATTCAGAAATATTTATTGAATAGTTCAAAAATGTTCTTTGATTAAAGTATTTCATTTTTGTTTTTCTTCCTTTCATCTTCGCTCCATTGCCATTCGCAAGTCTTCCACCGGCAGCGTTAGTTTTTAAAGTTCGCTCAGAAAAATGTCGGTCATACTGCCTCTACTTGAGACTTTTAGCTGCAAAAATCCAAGGTAAACTTCATCAATACTGACAACAACCTCTTCAGTCGCAAATACCTCAGTAGCTGTAACAAATCGAAAATCATTGTCATTTGTTCTGTGTGTCTTGAGTACAATGGAGTAACACGTGGTATATCTAGCAGAAGTCAATTTGTAAGTTGTGGACAACAGTTAATCAGTTAATTCTGGATATCCTATCACGAATGGTGCTTGTGGATTTTTTGCGATATAATTATTCTAAGGTGATCTTTCATGATCAAATATTCAACAAATGTCACGAAATGCCTATTTCCTGACATGAGAAGATTCTCATAACTTTCATGAAGAGTCCTCCACCAGTGACTCAGCGGTAAATCTGCGGACTTATAATGGTAAAACTCAAGTTTCGATACTCGTGGTGGACACAACACAAATAGCCTATTGTGTAGCTTTGTGCTTTACTGCAAACAAACAAATAAAAAACCGTGAAAAGCATTGGAATTTCACAAACTCTTATTAAGGCAATAGGTCTTTCAAGCTTGCCAAAACCCCTTCTTTTGATCAATCAGATGCAGGCTTTCGATAACAATTGGCTGGTTCATGTTCAGTTAACTCCTTCCACAGTTGAAATAACCCTTGATGCTCGGTTGTCTTGTTTTTATAGTGTTTTCGTTATCAGTGTGATCCACATATTGCATAATATTAAATAATTTTATGTTTTGTTTGTTTCCTACAACACTCAGTGTAAAGAAGTGAAAAACTGACCCAATAATTTAGTGAAATCATTCACTTTCTAAGTAAAATAATTAGGAAACTCCAGCAGTAATTAGTGGGATTAAACAGTATTTTTGTTTTAAATTTTGTGTGACTCATATTATTAGGAATCTTTAAACCAACAAATTCATGGGACCCATAAGGAAGTTGGTGCATAAATAGCTTATAAACATTTGTATAAAAAGCCAAGAAAACCCTATCAATAATTCTAGAGTTAAAAGTGCTTACAAACATTTACATTCCTTTGCTTCGTTTGACGGCTGTGAAAATCTTCCAGCAAAAACAAAACACTAAATCACGTGTGACCGAATAATGAACCCATTGTTTTTGTGGAGTTCTCTATTGACACGTTTTTATGTGTAATCACTTGTTGTGAATTTATTTCAATTCTCTTCCTTGGAAAACCTCAAAGTGTGCAGCTCACTAGACTCATTTTTACCAACAACTGTCGTACTTTTGAGTAATGTTTGGACATATAGATGGCTCACCCAAATCAAATAGACACGTATTTTCACTTTGTCTGATTGCTTATCTTTAGAATTCTTTTTGTTATGAGAAGCTGTGCTTGTTTGTTTTCAATTTCTCAGATTCATAGCAGGAAGTTGTAGCACTGATCTTTTCAATAGTTTCAACAGCATTAGTTTCGTGACTCCACTTCACTTGTATTATCTTCACCCTCTTTTAATGTGTTGCGTTTTTTGAAATGTAACACCAGAAAGGCGGTGCCTTCTATCAATTACGTTTTTCTTAAATTCTCCATTTAATTATATTTGAGTTATGACTGTTTTAATTATTACTTTTCTCGTTACCTTGGACTTTTTTGCAAACTTTTAGAAAATTAATTGGTAAAAATAATTTTACTTCACGCCTTTCTTAAAACAACAACTTGAATCCACGGTTCGGGCAGTTTATTCATGATGAAACAACGGTGAAAGTGGGTACCTTACATAGAGAGCAGAACTTTGTTGAAAGGTTAAAGTGATGACGTTTCAAAACTGTTCCGTCTTCGGGATTTTTTCTTACCAATAAAAAAAATTGTAGTCTGCCTCATTTATATACGAGTGCCTTAGTTTGGAGAATTATAAAATATCTATGTTGGACGAAAATGAAACTGATGGCACTAACAAGACAACTGAAACAAATACAACTAAATCTATACTTTTTACAACTCTCTTAAGCTGCAGCTATGTAACTTTCAGTACAATTTTAACACAGAAGCTCGCAAGATACAAAGATAAACATGTTCATTACCTTTGCAGTTTCTTCAAACTTCTGGTGCTCAAGTCTGATTGACTCCACCTCCTGAACTGAGCGTCCAAGTTGTATATGAGTGTTTACCATCAATTCTGTAAGGTCCTGGAGCCACTGTATTGACTAAATCAGTAAAAAAGGTTAAATTAACTTATATTATAATAGTAAAGCAGGACATTTTAACTGTATGTCACTGTTTACTATCAATTCCTTAAGATCCTGGAGTGTTTTGTTTACCATCAATTCCGTAAGTATTTAGGATGACACCTGAGTGACGAAAGTGGAGGAAAGAGGAGGAGTACGTCATCAACACCAGATAAAAACAGAAAGAACATCTATATGCAATTAATTTTAGTCACCATTATGCGTAAAGTTCCAAACCAGTAAAAAAGAAGTTTTAGACAAAGATTTGTGAAAATTTCTACAGAAAGGTAAGAATATAATATAGTACAATAGTAATAGTTAAATATAGTTGGTTGGTTGTTTGTCATTTTTTGGTGCAAAGCAACAAGGCTATCTGCGTAAACATAGTTATTTACATAGATCATTTGAAACTAAACCTTAGTTAAGCAAATCAACATATAAAGGTAAACATGAAACTGAAATTATTATTATTTAGACATTTAAATAAGTGTTCTTTTCAAGGCGAATATATGCAAAAGTATATTATACAATGTATTAATTATAGAAATGAAAACTAATGAATTAGCAATACCTTTTATATATAAACGTCAGAAAATGCAAAAGGTATATCATGCAAATCCAATACAGAAGTGAAAACTATAATCATAGACTACTGTACATTAAATGTGCGAGTAACATTATCCGCATATAGAAACACCATCCACTTTTGTAAAACACATGTAATATAATTAGATATATAAATGAAAACTATATAAACATAAACTGATTCAAGTTGAAATCTGTACGCAGTCCTACATAAGTATAGTAACACTATCCGCATATAGAAACACCATCCACTTTTGTAAAACACATGTAATATAATTAGGAATATAAATGAAAACTATATAAACATAAAGTGATTCAAGTTGAAATCTGTATGCAGTCCTACATAAGTATAGTAACACTGTCCGCTTATAGAAACACCACCCCACCTTTGTAAAACATGCATTGTTAATATTTGTTTCAGTCTTATTAAGTCTTGATTTAACTAATATATCTTATTAATATCTGATTAAAACATAATGGAGCCTTATATAAGTGAAAGTATAACTGATTTGAAAATGTAAAATTTGGAATATTTTCTAATCCTTTATTCATTATAGAGTAAAACTCTAATATACAATTTTGAATTTATGTACCCTGCAACGATTGAGAAATATCATTCCACGAATACACATTTAGTGTTTTGTATAGATTATTTAGGTTATAGGGCTATTTCTATGTTAATTCTTGAAAGAGAAGGAAAGATTATCAGTTTTTCATCACAACTGGCCAAGTTTCTCTTTGAAGCCATTCAAGCATCAAAGCCTACAGCAAAAACGGCTATGTATACTGCACCAAAATCTATGCACAGCTACTAAATAAACTTCTGTGAAGGTTGTAAGGCTATTTTAAGTTTAAGATTTCCACTCTCTAAAATTTTCTAAGTTCTTCTTCACTACCAACATAAGTTCTTTGAAGCCATTCAAGCATTGCAGAAATGTAAAAGCCATTTAAGCACCATTTTAGTAGTCAGAAATGCTCCATTTTATACTAGTCAGAAATGCTTCATTTTATTAGAGTAAACATTGTGTATATTTATAATAGTATCTCCAGTCTTATTATTATTGATTATAGTTTTACAAGCTGCTACAGAAAAATGGCTACGAATATTTTACTGAAATCTGGACAGTAGTAACGAATGCACTATTGAGTATGTCATAGGGTAGTTTTAAAATTAATTCAAGTGCCTTCGTCCTTCTGCCATTGTCAAAGTCCAGTGTTCTGTATGTGCATTAATTGGAAAATAATTTATGCAACTCATAGCACATTAATTGGAAACTGCCATGTTGAAGATTTATCATTTCTTGAGTTTGCTGTTCTTTATTGTTTCTTGACTTCGTTATTGTCTCTACGTGGTTTTCTGCGACTATTTCAGTGAGTTTTCTAACAGTTGATGATTACAATAGTATATTTTTCTACTCTTGTGTGTGTATGTGGTGATTTATTCTACTGATTTTCGTACTTCACTGAAATTGTGAGTGTGTATTTTAGTATTATTTTTATTCATATTTTTGTATTACAAACCTACAGCAAAATCGGCTGGGTATTTTGCACCAAAACCTAGACAGGTATGCTATATCAAACGCTGTAAATTTCCATGACCTATTTAAAAAGTTGATTATTTTTCATTGAAAGTTGATTTATGTGGTTATAAGTACATAATACACGTGATGTTGATGTGAGTGGCTTCCTTTGTACTCGGTGTTTTTTAAACCTCAGTCACAAAACCACCTCGCTCAGTAAATAATGGTTGGGTGGAAAAAAGCCAGTGTAGCAGTAAAGTGTTTAAAAATATGTAACATTCAACTGAATACATAAAATTTATTCTCCATAAATGGACATAAACAAATTTAAGAAACAAGTTATTGTTAATTTAAAAAGCGGAATAGGGATCGTCAAAAAAGTACAGAAACAAGTTGAATCAAAATGCAGAGATTATATTTTCAAGCCTACAACTAGGACCTAAAAAAGTAAACAAACTAGGCTGGAAATAGTCTACATTATTTTCTTAAGCTACAAATTCCTATTTTGACTCCACTAAAATGGATAAGTACTGT